GCCCTGATTGCCGACGAGAATGTTCAGTATCTTGGTGAGTTTGCATCCTTGCTCTCTTATTGCGGGGGAATCGCTTCTAACCATGCGACCCCAGTCATGTCCCTGGTGTGGCTTCTGTCCCCCCAGTACCCCCTGGCCATGCTCCCTTACGCCATCTACTCGATCTTCCACGTCGCAACTTACACCCGCGCCAACGTGATCCCCACCATCACTCCTCCAAAGCCCATCACGCCTGCTGCTGGTGCTTCCCCCAGCGGCAAGGCCCAGTACGCGAACAACCCGATCGCCGACAAGATTGGCGCTTTCGTCAAGGAGTACTACGATGCCTCCATGTCTGTCGTGTCCTCGCTCGAGATTCTTCTCTGGGTTCGCCTCCTCCTCTCTGCCATCACCTTCCAGCGCCGCTCCTGGATCTTGATTGCCATCTACACCGCTTTCCTCCGCGCACGCTTCACCCAGAGCACCCACGTCCAGAACTCGCTCGCCCTTCTCGAGTCCCGTGTTGACTCTGCTGTCGGCAACCAGGGCACTCCCCCTGCCGCTCGCCAGGCTTGGGAGACCGTCAAGGGAGGCGCTCGCCAGTTCTACGCCTACACCGACCCCAACCGCTACCTCAGCGGCACCGCCGTCCCCAAGAAGACTTCGTAAGCATTGGCGAGACACGCGAAACGATTCAAAGTCACGAGTGCCTTCAAGGGTACAATGACAAAAGCCTTACTCGAGATGAGGCTGATTGTCTAGCGGCTCCGCCGTTGCGAAGAGCCAGGTTGCAAGCCAACCAGGATGAGACTATTTCTCGGCAGGGGACGATTACGCAAAGAGGTTTATAACGAGAGTATACGGTCGCAAAGGAAAAGAAATGAGCGGGAGGGTTCATGGCCGGCCAAGGTTCACATGGTGTTTCGCCGGTAATTCAGGTTATTATAGTGTAGGCGAGTTTGGGGCCTGGTGGTTTACCGGGTTGCTCTCTGCATCGCACGATGATTTCAGGTTTCCCGTTTGGTCACTGGCTCCGGCCTTTGTTTGTTAGTTTTGATTGAGCAGTAAATCCAAATTCGCATGACTACACAATTATCTTCTTCATCCTTTCCTTGAATCTTTGCGGGTTGCGGAGTTTGCTAGAGATACCAACAGCAAAGGCTAAGTCAAGGGCTGAGCACATGCTGCCAAGAAGCCGGGTCGGACGACGGCACTAGCCACACCCGAAGTGGCGTAGCTCGGCAGCTCTTCCCCGGCTCACCCCACTACAAATGACGTCGGCCTCCCCTGCTCGGAGGCCGACGTCAAGGCTCACTTCCCGCACGCGACCAAGGCGCAGCTACGACACAGTAGGCCGTCATGAGGGAGGACGCCTTGGTTAGACTTCCTTGATCGCCCATTTATACTACAAGCGCTGCAACAGTCCCTATTTCCTTGGCGCCCGTTCGTCCTAAACCTTGCTCCGCTTTCCTGGGTGCATCGATAGATTTGTCTCCATCATGGCCTCTTTACTTCGACAGATTGTTGCGGGACCTCGAGCACGGCACGCCGAGTCGGACTTGGATCTTTGCTATGTTACCAACAACATCATTGCAACGTATGGCAGCACTCGTATACCAAACACGTTCTCAAAGGAAAAGAGCTAACTCCTTTTAATTTGCCCAGATCTGGTCCTTCAGGCACATATCCCCAAAGAGCTTACCGAAACCCGCTAGATCGGCTCGTTACCTTCCTCGACTCTAAGCACAAGGATGAATGGGCGATATGGGAGTTCCGCGCAGAGGGAACGGGGTACCCCGACGAGGAGGTCTACGGCCGAGTACGACATTACCCGTGGCCTGATCACCACCCGCCCCCGTTCCGCCTGATTCCCATGATCATGGCCAGCATGCGAAATTGGCTTCAGGGAGGCGATCTCGAGCCGGGCAATGTTGCCGTCAGTGCTTCTGACAAGGCTGCGGAGGGCAATGACAAGAGGGTCGTCGTCGTTCACTGCAAGGCTGGCAAGGGCAGGAGTGGAACAGTATCTTGCAGCTACCTCATCTCCGAGTGCGGCTGGAAGCCCGAAGAAGCTCTCACGAGGTTCACGGAGAGGAGAATGCGGCCCAAGTTTGGAGCGGGCATCTCGATTCCCAGCCAGCTGCGAACGATTACATACGTCGACAGGTGGACTCGAGGTGGGAAGAAGTACGTTGACCGGGCTATTGAGATTATGGAGATTCATGTCTGGGGTCTGCGAAGTGGCGTCAAGTTTGACGTTGAAGGATTCGCCGAGGAGGGAAAGAAGATCAAGGTCTTTCACACATTCAAGAAGAGCGAGAGGATCGTTGTTCAGGGCGATACACCAAGCGGGGGCGGAGTCGGCTCTATGGTATCCGATCTCGCCAGCGTCACCGTCAAACCTACGGAGAAGGCGCCTGCCGCGGCGCCTTTGTCGGAACCTACCAACACCAACAATGCAAAGAAGAGCAGCTCAGACAAGGATGCTTCGGGGCCTGAGAAGGATGATACTACCCCTACCCGAAGTGAGTCAAAGAAGTTGCGCAATGCGGCGACGACATCCTTGATTCGCACACCCGAGCCGAGCGCTTCTCAGAAGAGAAGCGATACTGATGCTCCCTTGGCGGAGCAGTCACACGCCAAAGCCCAAGCGAAGTCAAATGGTGGCGAAGATGGCGAGCCCGGCGGTATGGCCGTTATTCTCAAGCCAACAGAGCCCATCCACATTCCCAACAGCGACGTCAACATCTCAGTAGAGCGCCGTAACCGTACCTCGTCTTCCATGGGCCTCACAATGGTCACCGCTGTTGCCCATGTCTGGTTCAACGTCTTCTTCGAGGGCAACGGCCCCGAGCAAGATGGCAAGGCTGACGCCAGCGGCGTCTTTGAGATTAGCTGGGATGCTATGGACGGCATCAAGGGGTCTAGCCGCAAAGGTTCCCGCGCCTTTGACAAGATCGCCGTTGTCTGGCGTGTGGCAGACTCGCAGCGGGCCGAAGACGGTGGCGACGAGGTGATTTCACCGACGGCCGGCGAGATCATCAACGAGCCATCGTCTGGGTCGCCCGTTCCGCAGATGCAGGCTGCTGATTGGAAGGGCCATAACAAAGAGGACCCCGTCGCGGAGAAGCACCTCGGACTGAGGGATGAGAGCCCCGAGAGCGCGGACGTGAGCCGCGCGAGCAGCGTCAAAGACGATGCGGGCGTGTTGAGCGGCGGCAAGGATGGTAATGATACGGACTCAATGGAGGGCGTCAAGACGAGCGGGCCGTTTGGGGAGGAGCAGCTCGATGCTGAAGATGTCGATGTGAAGAAGGTGGAGAGGGAGGTTGGGGAGGGGAGTCTGAATAAGCAAGCGGATCCTGGGCCCGAGTTGCTTGATTCTCCTGACACTGCGAGCGGGACGACGGCGATTGGGAGCACCGAGGTGAAGAAGTGAGCTTCTAGAGTGCGGGTTGCGGCGCTTGTGTAGAGCGTTGTTGTTTCATGTAATATTCCTGGGTTAATTGATACCATGATGAGGGGAAGGATGGCCATAGACGATTAATTCCATTCACGAACTTCTTCACCGGCCTTGTCCTTGCCAACTCAAGTCAAATTCGCGATCTATACGGCTACGATTTCCTATATGCAAGTGGTCGTGCCATGGACCCATGTCGATCGCCTTTCTTGGCTAAGCATTGATTACTTGAAATGATTCAGTATTTAGACAAGATTTTCGTAAGTTTGACAGAAGTCTAGAAGGTGGCGTGACTCCTCAACGAGTCAAACTAGGGCCGTAGAGGTGGCTAACAAAGATCAAGGGATCTGCCCACGGCTCGACCTTGGGGGTAGTTAGATCTATCGCCAGGTTAGAACATAAAACTTTCCTGTTCTTTGCTAGCTCTGGTCTCTCTATTCTTGTTATTCTTCGTATTCTTTATTTTTTTTATTATATATTCTGTATAAAATGCCTTAGAATAATAGAATAGCTAGGTAGGTAGGGAGATTGAATATCTTTTGTTAGCCGGTATTCCATTCTATTATCCACCCACCCAAGAAGTCTGCTAGGCAATCGTATGCAGCAGCCCCTTCGCTACCCTTTTGGCCTTTTCGTTGACCGTGATAGTAGCCACTCGGCCACTAGCCCCAAAGGTCTTATGGATTACATATAAATCGACGGCCGTGTCAATGCGACGATTTTTTCCCGAGTTGATCACAACATGCTCTCCAGGCTTCAACTGTTTGCCCTTCTCCTTCTTCTGCATCGGTGCATCGATAACAATGTCGCCCGCAATCACCACACCAAACACCATCATCCTCGCCATATGTTCAATCAACAGGTCCGATGTAGCGGAAAGCTGCGATAGATGGCTGTTGTCAGACTTCTATGCTTTCAATTATCTCTTCAAGGGACTCGGCCAGTCTCAAACTTGGATCAACCAAAATGTGATCGATACTACCCTTGAAGAACTCATACCCATCCGTCTAAAAGTTTCTTTTAGCACCTTCGCTGACTAGATGGATTCAGGATACCAAACATCTGCTACAACAAGGAGAGAAATTACTCGGGAACGCATCTGCGACATAGAAAGTAGTCCTTAGTACGAAGATTATCGACAATCATGAGATCACCTCTGTCACCGTTGTCGAAGACCAACACATTCACGATCGCTTCTTGCAAGAAGCCGGAGAAAAATCGACAGGCAGTACGAAGTGATGCTCCGCTTTTGATCATGATATTTTGTCATGGCGGCGAGGGCAACAAACTTTATTTGAGATCCGAAAGGGGTGGGACACATCTTACGCCTGCGATGCTCGACGGCGCACTTGCAGACAACTGCCGCGTAAGCCTATTCACAACAGCTAGTTTTTCGGGTAGCTGGATCGTGTCTCAGCCCACCAACGAAGACTGCTCGCCTGTGGACGCGACCATGTTGGCAGCAGCAACTGATGCGGAGCCGTCATACTCTTGACCAGCTTCTACTTCACCCAAAAAGCGCAGCTGTGGTTCGGCCTTTGTAGGCTCAGTAGTCAAAGCTATGTCATTTACGACAGATTCTCTCTATCCCAAGTCTCTTCGGCCTGAATATCCAAGCGAGGAGCAAGCCATGACGTACGATGCTTTTGCCGATTGATTCACAATATCCTAAGGAACAGTGGCGGTACCTGGGAGAATAACTTCTTTACTTTTGGGGCCCTCGATGATCAGCGGGACTGGACATGGACCGGAAGTTTGGACATCCCGCCGGAGCACTTCAGAGATCGGTGGAACCAGCTTGAGGATTATGTCTACACTGGGCCTGCCGTGCCAGATGATCCGGAGAAAAGGACAAGTGGGCTCGAAGATCGTGCAGAAATCAGACAGCGTCATTGTGGTATCTCTAAAGCGATACACGACAGCCTGATGAGCAATGACGTCAAGGGGGTGGCTCGGTGTTCATCTCTACATGCCCAGAAGATTGGACTGTAAATTGGGGCCCCGGTCTTCTCACCATGCTCAAGCAAGAAATGCAAGGCCATGATCCCAACTACCGCTGTTACGGGCATATCGACATTATTGATTTCGTTACCTATCGATGGGAGCTAGCGCAGTTGACCGATTTGTTCGTGGCCAGGTTCAGGCTAGTTGCGCCTTGGGTTCAGCCTTGTATCTTATGGACGCGTGGCAGCTGGCAAACATTTGCAACGCAGAGAGACAAGGGATATTACGAGCGGCACTACAACGCGTTCCGACTTCTTGTGGGCATCAAGTTCCTGCTCGAGCCCACCGAAAGCCAGGGACCCTCTTTTGCCCGTATCATTCACTACTTGGCCGCAACCATTGCATGGACGCCGAATCTCTCTGACGCACAAAGGGATGAAGTTGTTGAACACTTGGTGGATGATATGCAGAGGTACAAGAATTTCTGCCTGTATGTATGCTTCAATGACAAGGGGATCATCAGCAGGAGAAAAGAGTGGCTGGACAAGATTGGCCGATAGGTTCGTTGGTCTATACCCACATCTAGGGGGCTAACCCTTTATTTGGGGCCTTTGTAGTCTTAGCTCAAAAGTATTCAAACGAGTTGTAACGAACATAAGAATGCCTTTGAGACGTGTAACACAGCTTAATTCCTGCAAAGGGAGTTCAGTAGGGCTCTTTCAAATGATTCCTGAGGTCAGGCAAGCGAGTCACCAACGGATTTCCATGAAAGCTTGATCTGATGGTTCGAAACTTGGGATGTAGATTCAACCAACAAAAAATTGTTCGCAGAGAAGAGGCAGATGGAAAACAGTTGTTAATCGCCTCGGGATGTCTCGCATTTACGTCGAAATGCGCCCGCATGGCAGCGGTTTCAGGTGAATCAGATGACGAGATACCGCAAACACAAGAACAGGACGCTATGTTGGCTAGTCAACTCGACAGTCTGATGGAAAAATACGATGCTACAAGGGAAACCGTCACAGAGCTCGCTTTGGAATTCCAAAAGACATGGTATAGGGCCGTGGACCAATTACTACCTCCTCTTCGGTATGAAAATTACGACGACTTTTCGTATGAGCACGCCACCGACTAGGAAATCAAAGAATTGGAGGAGCTTGAGGAAGAAAATTAGGAAACAGAAGTTCTGCGTAATCTTGAACATAAGAATTTCGAAGACTTTCAGGATGTCATTCTTAATCTTTTGCGAAGCAGATTTGGGACCAGGTCTGATGAGCACTGCAGAGGCTGAAACTTGAATTCGCCTCGTCATACACAGGAGCTAGTTCCTACAACAAACCGCACACATACACGAAGTCACGGTGCATTGACGAGGAACACGAAACAAAGCCAGTATTGGCTGTCTGCAGAGCTCGTTAGCAATCTGGCCCCCATTAGGAATACGTTCCATGTCTCGATGTTCCTCTGATGGTCGGCTTACTGCATTGATCTGCGGCGTAGGCAATCAAGGCAGCAACCTGCTGCCAACACCAATAAACACATATCTATCACAATCTTTCTTCTCCTCAGGTTCGACGTTTCCTTCAATTCGATCGCATATCCTTATGATTCAAGCTCGAACAAAATTGCGCAGAAGACGGAAGTAGCAGCTTATCAGTGATAGGTTCGTCGGTAAACAATTCTAGAAATTGAGAAATATGTCTCAAGCAAGTCTAGACTCGAATACCTGGTACCTCTTCTCAGATGCTAGAGTCACCAACACCACAGGTCCTGTTATAGGATGCTTGCAACAGACCTCCAATGGCCTACGAACCTACTCGTGCGACGACAAAGAGACTATGGCATGGCAATTCCAACCGGTAAACTCCACCAAAGGCCGGTATCTCATTCGATCAAACGCAACCGGAGTGAGGCTCCAACTATCAGCCTGCTGGGACCAGGCAGAAACGGCAAATGGACACACGGCAGTCTGCATGAGGAGAACGACCTCGGGCGAATCACAGATGTGGGATATACTCGACTGGGGCGATGGAACCTTTGATCTCTTCAACGCTGCGAACGGTTCCGACTACATTGTTGACCGTCATGCGGGTAGCGGCGTGTTCATGTCGGACCAGATTGCGGGATCAGCCGTCAGTGACTCGGTTGATGTCCCTGGGCAGCGCTGGATTATTCGGGGTGATCGAGCGGTGAATGATCCCGCATATTCGTCAGTGTTCAGCGTAAGATACTCTGATGTATCCCAGGTGCCCTTTGTTCATCACAGAGACTAATTATTCGGGTCTTCGTTTGGATCTTCAGGAAGAGCCCAGTTCCACATCTACCGCAGCATCCCTTCCTAACACAGAGAGGGGATCATCCAGAGGCTTATCTTCGGAGACCATCGCTGGGATTACAGTTGGTATAGCTTTGGGAGTCATCTGCCTTATCGCTATGATGCTTTTCTTATCACGTCGACGGAAACTTAATCATGGTGCCAGGCTTTCTGGCAGTCATCAGCAGAAGTTCATATTCAGTTTTTATGATAAGAGAAGGCCTGTTATTGACCAGCATGCTATTGAGAGTGGTGTTCATCAGGCGACAAATGTACAGGAGATGAGTAGCAGTGTCCAGGTGGCTTGAACTACATTGGTACTTGTCCACTCGAGTACATAAAAAGCAAGTAATTGATTAGTCGGTGGGAGGTGGAAGGCTAGTCAAGCCTTGCTGCTGTTAATTTGGGCGGGCTGAACCTCGTGGCTTCAAATGAAAATCCTCTTCATCAATAGCCTGAGCATGCGCCCCACGCGTCCTCTCTTCCCCCCACAGATTACAATCCGACTTATCATTGCACGAAACAGAGGTGCTCTCAATGTTTGTCAAGACTGATAGAAGTGGAAAGCATCATGGTAATCATTGCATGTGCCCAACGAGAAGGTGAAGCAAGGGTATCACTGGTGCCTGAGTAGTAATGATAAACAATCTGCCTTACCAACGGTGCAACCATGATCACATCCCAAAAGTCTCTCAGCACGCCTTCAACTGGGACCTTCAATGTGTGGGAGGCATCTATTTCTGGAATCGCAGGAAGTGTCACGCTACAACACTTCGAATTTCTTCAGCACCCATCCTTATCAATCAAACTCTCATTCGACTGCACGGAAACCGAGCCCAGAGTCGGCCATCCTCAGCCTGCTCTCCGAACTTGAGCTGCTGACCATGGTAGGATCAATCTGGGGGCTGAGCTTGCAGCATTTATCGTCTATTGTAGCATTCGTTTAGCGCAACCATTACAATATTGACAAGGCGACCTATAACGTGCAGCAACGAAATGCTCCAGGTGTATCGACTATCGTTCAGCCCCCATTGCCGCGCCTTAGACTTCGCCGCTTTCAGAAGCTCAGAAACCATGTAAAGTAAGGCGGCCTAGAATGGTCCGTACCCAGAACTTGACCATTGTACGCGATTGAGGAAATATTATAAAATCTGGAAGCCCATTCGTAGGTGAGAGTGTCTATTGAGCCTCCCTGCATTTGATAAACTGAAATCGGCGACAGTTTCTGCCAATTTACCCAAGTCATCTGGCGTCGCAACAATGAGCTGGGATGACTATACATCTTACTACGGGGGATACGGTGCCTTCACGCCTGGAGTGAAGAGTACTGCGAAATTCGCCAATACTCCCGCAGCTCCCACCGAGTTGACGACATCATCGACTTACACGACAAGTGTTCAACTAACTCGTCCCACACTAAAGGGAGGATCCATCTCGTCAGAGAAATCAACATGTACTGCTACAGCAAGCATCCTTACGTCGAATACTGCTGCGGCAAGGTCTCCTACGTCAAGAATTTCCTCTGCCGAACCAGCTCACACCAACGCCCCTGCAAGATTTGCTCAGATGGTTGATCATTTGGATCCCATGCTGTATGAAGTGACGGAAGAACAACTACTCAAAACTCCATTTGGCGACGTTTGTCCGTCAGGAAACTGTGTCGACGACTGCCAGAATATGACTCGAGTATTCCAGGCAATTCCTCAAGGACTCCACGTAGATCCGCTACGCTACGGACGAATGGAGGCACAAAAGGCAAACGTAACCCTGTTCAGTACTTGTAGTAATCTTGAGTTCTCTACAAATTTTGCTACAGCAGAAGAGAATGACAACTTCACATCCTACTTTTCGACAAACGATTCTACAGACCTTTTCAAAGTGGCCGCAAGCATAGCAAGCTGCTTCGCTGCAACTTGCGAACAAACGCGAAAACCTACTCTTTGTGCCGACGCATGCTCCCCGGCTGAGTTATTGTCATCTCCGACGACATTCGATTACATGTTAGGTCTCCCGAACTGTGTAGTCAGGCTTTGCGACAATACCTGCTCGTTACCTTATGTGGACCCTGACGTCTTGGGCATTGGTGTGAGTTCCTCTCCCGGCATCGGCAGTAGGCTTAAGGACTTGGTATATTGATCTGTTGATTCATTAGATTCTTGTCTCGTACTACATTCAAGCACTACTTCTCGTTATCTGTGCTACGGCCATTATGGTATCGACTGGATTCCAATTGTGGAAGGTATCACAGGCTCAACCGACTGTCAGAGAAAGTCTGAGAAGCCCGTTGGAGACATTTGTGAGAGTTCAAGCTCTGTTTGGCAGTACGTACCTACCTAGCTTGGTCCCTTGAATGTTATCTTTGTCATTATCCATTGTCTATTGCAAGTGATCAACTGACTGATTGTTCTAGTTTCTTTGGCTATCGCAACACTTATCATGCGGCCCGATGAGATCGACCCATTGAACGGATATGCCCTAATCTTGACAGCTATCATGGGTTTCCTCCCACCAGTGTTCACCCTTATGTTGCTTCATAGCCACGGAGTGCGATCGCGTTTCTCGACCGCATTGGTATGTGCAAGCTATTTGCTCAACACCGTGACCTTTTTCGTACTCGTTCGGAACCTCTCGATTTCTACACATGACAGGCTCTTTTTGGATAAAGCCATAGACAGCCTCTTCAGTGCCGAAGCATGTGGCGGTGGCTCGGCTATATCACTTTGCTACCAGCTGACTGGTACGGACCCCGTCGGTTTCCTCTCCGGCTTTTACGACAACAGTTCGTTCGCAAATATCAAGACTGTACCACTTCTATGGATATGGACAACGCTGGTGCTACTCGTGTTGATCACCAGACACCTTGTGGCTACCACACAAAAGAGAAGCGACGCAGTGGGTCAGTTACCGCCTGCCAAGCCCCAAGGTCTTCATCGGAGCAAGCGACCTTCCGGATTTCATGCATTCTTGAGTAAACCGCTGTTCACATGTTTTATACTATCTTTGGCGATAATTCTATTCTTCTTATGCCTTCTGTATCAATACCTGTTGGTAAAAGCTAATGCTCTGATGGATGTGATTGATCAGAAAGGTTGGTCCTTTGGACAAGTCGTAGCCTTGTTGTTCTGGGTGCCACCATTCCTTGATATTCTCCGGTCAATGTATGAGAAGGAAAAGTATGAAAAGGTTCAGAACGCGCATGAAAGCCAGAGCTAGTGGAAAGATCAGGTCAAAGCACTCTTCAATTTAGTACGCTGAAATTCCACTTGAATTTTTAAGAGTGATGGAGCTTGTAGCTCAAATTCAATCAAATTTTGTGGACAACCTTTGCGTACAAGTTTAATCGTGGAAAATCTTTCACCTTCAAAAGACAACAACTGCTCAAATATCTTCAGCCGTCTAGTCCAACTCCTTGCCAATCTTGTCAAACTCCCGACGCCACTCAGCGACCTTCTCGACCTTCTTGAAGGGGTCAAGGTTCATGGCCTCGCTGTCCACGTACACGCTCTCCCCAAGAGTGAGTTCGCCTCGCCCAACGAAATTGCCCAGTTCAAAGCTCGCATACTTGGAGCTGGCATTAGAACGGCCACCGTCTTCCCAAACTCCAACCTTGAAGGTCGCATCCGGCCGGAAGAAAAAGTTGGACCCTTTGGCGGCGCCACTCCGCGTTCCACTGTTGACAATCTTTGCCGAAGTGTGAGGCTTGTTGGACTCATCCTCTTTGTGAATCTGGGAAGCGTTGTTTCCGTTGCCGCCACTTGGTTTGCTGTTGCTCGAGGTTACCTTCCCGCCGCTGTTGTTGCTCCCGTTCCCGTTGCCACGATCGCGGCAGTCGGCATCCTTCGCGGAACCGTACCCTTGAGATCCGTAGCCCTGAGAGCCATAGCCCTGTGCGCCATAGCCTTGGGAACCATACCCTTTGGGCTGGGAACTGTTGTCCTTGGTTGACACTGAGAAAGACATCCCAGGAACACCAATCTTGAAGCCTTCTTTGGAAGAAGTGGTCTTATCGTTCTGAGGCCCGGGGTTCTTTTCACCTTCTTTGGCAGTGTTCCCACGATAGAAACCGTCTTGGGGAATGATGGCAGCATTCTTGCTACCAATTTCAATGTTCGACGGGAATGGCTGCATGGGCGCCTCGCGAACATCCTCAATGAGAAGGACCAAATGTTTCTTCCAGATCGAGTCGTCCACCTTCTTGTAGAAATTGAGCTTGCAGCGGCCCGCGGAAAGTTGCGTGTTCGGCGCACGAGTAATGACGTGATCAATGTTGGCTTCGTTTGCTGTATGAACTTGGTAAGCCGAATGTCAGAGGTAAGACTAGCAGTATGGATGCACTTACGAGTTCCGTAGAGGTAGAATGGCATGAAAGTATCCGGGTACTTATCGAGGCGATACTTAGAGTTCAATGGGCGGCTAACAACGGTCTTCCCCAACTGAACACAAACGTCTTGGAGGATGATGCCGCTAAAATCGTTAGTGGGATCCATTCCTAACACATAACGTGCCACGAGTTGACATGCTACTTACGACTCTTTTGTCATAATCTGACCATCGAAGTGGCCCTTCTGCTCAATGACATCCTTGGCCATGACCTTGCGCTGAGTCACGAGCAGCATCGGCTCGGTGGGGTTCGACTTCTTCAAAGCAATGTACTTGGCCTTCGACTTCTCGTCAAAGCTCGCGTTGACTATGAGTTGTTGTCGATGGTTCGCCACATGGAACATAGGCAGGTGGATCAGGAAGATCTCCTCTGTGCCCTGAATGAGGAAGCTGTGGAAATCCGGCGCCGGTGTGTTGCGCTTGCGGACGATCTGCAGATGCAGGTCAGCTACTGACACAAAATGATAGACTTTCAAGAACAAACCTCAGTCTCCTTCGCGACGACATCATAGAAGATGTCGGCGAGTTGATTTGTGAAGTTGCCGTCAGTAGGGAATGGGGACATGACGACGTTTCGCAACACCATCAAGTCTTGTGAACTCTGCTCTAGGCCGAGCCGCTTGACATAGTTTGCCTTGCACTCTCCGTACAGTTCGTCTGAGAATTCGGTGGAAGTCAAGAAGAGAGGAATCTGGGTGGGATCATCGTCTGGGCTGTCAACAGAAAGGGCCTCAATGACTCTCTGCATGAGGTAGTTGGCCTCTTCGATATCATCGTTCAAGCGTCCGTCTTCGTAGCGGAAGTTCAGCGCGAAGGCGTTGATGTTCAGGTCTGAACCCAGACTTCTCAGGAGTTTCATGACCTTTTCGTCATCCGGTCTGGCTTCATCTTCGGCAATAATGGAAGCGTTCGTCTTTTTGACAATCTCATCCCTGATACGCTTCTTCTCGGCCTCGATCTTCTCCTCGGTTGCATTCGGCTCAAGCTCAGATGGGAGCATGTTGAAAGGCACGCAGACGAAAGGACTTTCGGAGTCTGTCAAAGCTGCCCACTCTGCTGACAGCTTCATCAGGTGTGTCAGCATGAAACATGAAAAGACAGCACAAACAATCCTGAGAATGATGGAGAAAGTGAATGAGACATACCCTGCTGCAAGTCCAAGTAACCTCTCCAAGTAAGGCACCATAGCCTTCGGCATCAAGACCAATTGTCCTATTTGACAACCACGTCGAAACCGCAGAGGCACCGGGTTTACTGCAGTGAATATGCATAGTTAGTTTCTTCTCCATTACTGATAGATCTCTTCCAATAGGTAGACTGACCTTCCTTCGACACCGTAGATGCCAATGCTGGTGACCGAGCCTCGCGATAAGTAAGGACTCGTCCAGGTGACCAAGAACCGCATACGATTGTCACGGTAGCAAAGGCCACCAGCTGGATAAGGGATGTAGCCTGCTTTGTGGGGGTCAACAGTAATGGAGTCGGCAAAGCGCATGGCGAACAAATCATCCTGAGTCTGGGCACGAAGTGTCGCATCCGGCACAAAGCCATCGGCCGCACCCATGTCAGTGGGAAGATTCATGACATCTCCAGGCCGATAGTCCTTTGGCAACATGGAGCAGAAATATCCACCTGAAATGAAGTTAGCGCATTCAGTTGCAAACGGAGTCAATTCTCAAAGGCTCGGAACACTTACCCCAGGCAGCGTCGGCATGAACAACAAAAGATAATCCTTTCGCTTGGAATTGCTTGCGCAGGGATAGAACACCGCTGAGAGAGTCCACGGCACCCTCTTTGAAAGTAAGGTCAGATTTTTATCAACTCAGTGCGTTCCGTTGGCTCTCTCTTACCCTCCGTGGAACCTATGATAGCAACCACCGCATAAACGGGCTGTCCTTTGTCAAGATTCTCCTGCAATTTCTTCTCCAACGCGCCCAAATCCAGGCGAGCTCCTGCATCAACTGGAATGCCGATGACATTATCGGAGCCCAAGCCGCTAATTGCTAGATTATTTGAATGCGATCAGTCTCCAATCAGTACATTGAAAGAGAGGCAATTACTTACCAGCACCCTTGGGCCAAGAGTAGTGCCTGGTATTCGACAACATGTATTGGCCTGGTAGTTCAAGCCCAAACTCTCGCTCCAACTCATCCTTTCCAGTGGACTGGATGGTGAACTTCTTCATTACATCTGAAAGGAATGCATTGGACACCCCGTGCTCCTGATATAGTCGATCAGGTAGATCAAGAATATCGGATGGCTTCAAGTTGAGCAGATCCCAGGTCGATAGATCAGTGAACAACTTTGTTTCACCCTTGCAAGTCTCAACTTTGAAAGCCTCCGACAGGAAGTTGAGTGCCTCGCCATTCCCAAAGGCCTTGCGAAGCGATAGGGGATAGAACTTCAGGTTCCTAGCTGGGAAGGTATGAGTAACCGATATTGTAAGGCGATAGTTGATACATACCGACCCTAGAAATTAGTTGTTAGCGTCTGACAGTATTGTAGAAACTGAGGGATCTTACCACATGGATTCCAGATTGGCAACGGTGCCATCACAGGTCACATGGCCCCAAGAAGTAGGCGCTTCGGTGTTGTCCTCCTTGATGTTGTAACCAAAGAGATCGCACAACTGCTCGCCCACTTCTATCTCTGCCAAGGTTGATAGTGGACTGGCTTCGAACGCGACATTGTTTGGATTATAGAGCATCGTCATGAAGTATCCCAGCATTGAAGGCATGGTCAGGTCAGTGCACCTAATTCAATCAGTTCAAGAATGACCTATCAAGAAGAGGCTAATCAAAAAGCACTGACATATGAGCTTCATAACGAGGGGACCAGAATGGTATGCTTGACTTGCCCAAGATGTTGGAGGCCTTCCGAACGGCATTCTGGAGCTTGTCCATGGAATTGCGGAAAGCAGGCGTGTTCTGTGTCTTCTCATCGATGAAATTCTGCTTCATATCAGCATCGTGACCGTTTTGTACTTATCAAGCAGTTGAGTATCTTTGTAACGTACTCCATCTTCAGGGTAATAACTCTTTCGCGCACTCTCGAGTTCATCTAGAATGATGTTGATGTTTTTCTTGAAGTATGGAAGGTTCTCGGCTTGGGGCCCAATGAAGTACGAAGAGATGATCTGATGAGACTCATCCTCATAGGTGGCCGTGGTATTGTACGCCGTGTTCTTGGAAGTCATGATGGAGGTAGAGGTAAGGGGGTGGTTGATGAGTTTCAGCGGTCAGCTTAGGAGACGTTTTCCAGGACTAAAGGCGAGAGGAGAGGCCTTATAAATACAATTTGATCCAAGCACTCTCCAGTGACCGCCTCCTGAATTTCGTTGAAACTTCTTTCGACTCTTTCGCGGTCGAACCAATGGGTAGATGGCACTGCATTTCGCAGTTTCGCGGTGACGAAACGATATTATGCAGGCTGGCGATCAACGACCGCTTTCGCCTTCTAGGACCTTCATGAATTCACCCATATCTATGAAAGGTCTCTATCGAGTGGTTTGACCGGTCAGGCCTTGCATCTTGTATGATGCTAGTTTCAATGACCCCTCACGGGAATGCCTTCCACATACTCACCGGTGTCATCTTAGCGAGGTTCCGATCAACTGGAGAATGCCCTTCCGTGAATAAAAGCAACGAATTACTGGTTGGAATACCAAAGATGTTCGATTCTCATGCATACTGTGCTGCCGTAGAAGGTTAGATCCGGGCGGGCTTTGCTCGAACTCGCAGCGGGAGCATGCGTGTCTCACATAGCCGCCACCTATCACGGAAGAGACAGGCAACGGCTGCAACCTGTTGTATGAGTGAATATCTGCACGACGTGGACATGAGCAATTGCATCACTGCCATTGTTCTATGATGAGGAGAATTAGAAGAGATTGTTGATGTACGTTACTTAGACTGGAAGGATCGGACAGAAACCCAATATCGAACGACATTAGCCAACCCTTCATTTTGAGCTCAAAGCAGACCAATGTACCCGACGAATGAGGAAGCTCCAATTTCGCTGAAATAGCCGGCACAGTAAAGCTGGCGAGAGCCGAGAAACGAAGAGGCTTTGTGGGCTGTACTATTCAAAAGCTCACAAATTCCCCGGGAGTCGTGATAGGTGTGGTCCGATCGGGTATGATCCGGAACTATCACCGTCGGCCCGGGGTGATCGCTCCTAGAGTAGCACTGGGCACACAAACTGTTCGGCTACACCCGCACACGTTAGACTAGATCGAGCTGGCTGCAGGAGAGGAGGGGGTTCAGGCTTGGCAGTCCACCTGTCGACTTTCATCGAGCTTGAGCCTCTCGAATGGAGTTGTACGATTCTGAGACAACGTACGGTAATAGGCCCAGTAGGTATTCCGACGGAAACCGATTGAGCTGCACAAGTGAGGGGTTTGTGATTCACCGGTCGCTTTGCCAATCATGCATCTCATACATGCACGAATCGTGACGTGGATGTCGACCATTGTGCGGGGCAACAATACCAATCAGGTGTGGTGGTGATCTCATTCCAGCAACTTGAACTTCGAATACTTGCCCGCTTACACGGCTCCTTCAATACCTGAACGCATATCAGACGGGTTCCGAAAGCGGACATCGGGATGGTACCGATGTGATAAGTAAATCAGACTATTATTTGGGCTCTATCTATAGGATAGAAGCTATGTGCGAAATATCTCTTTGAATCGTTGGCTCAGGTGCACATTGCAATCGCGAACTCTAGCCCTTGAATTGACACATTTGATGTCAATCAGAGTGTTCTTAGTTTGCAGACAGGAGGACTTTCCACGCATCGATGACCGAACGATTGGGCGCGGCTATTTCGATGACCTCTTTGCTTGTGGTCGAAGCCGGGCATTTACCTTCCCATAGAGTAATTGGAGCAGCCTTGATCGAGGATATCAGGTTCTTGGACTCTTTTGTTGCTAATATCATAGCGTCCACAAGAGACACATCCCTGTACTCGACGTTGTCCACGGGCTCACCAATTGCCTCCTCCACCCACTGAGCAATGTCTCGACCAGTCACATCCGTAGGCCCATTCAGAACATACTTTGCCCCGTTATGCCGAGAAGGATCTTCTTTCCACAGCAAATGAGCAGCAAAAGTACCAATATCGTCAGGGTCTATTGCGCCTACGGGTGCGTCCTTGTCGGCGATGAGCTTCAGGATTCCCTGCTTCTTCGTTCGACGGTGTTCTTTGACAAACTCAACCGCACTGTAAAGATGTGCCGAGAAGAAAATGTTTGGCTGTAAGGACGTCCACTTGAGTTCTCTGAATTCTGGCGAACTCAACATGGTCTCAATAGCCCAATGAGTCCGCGGGTAGTAAGCCTCGAAGTCTGGACGGACGTTGGCAGCCGTTGTGGAGATGCGCACAACGTACTGTACGCCGGCCATCAGTGCGGCCTGGTGGAAGGTCGATTCCTCGGCGAATTGGCTCGGACCGTTGTGTGATGCGATGAAAGCCTTGATGACGTTCTGTTCGCGCAGCCAAGAGGCATTGATATCGACCCAGTTCTTCTCGATCACTGTAACACTAGGGAGACTTGCAAGATGCTGGGCAGCCGACGAATCGATGGAACGCGTAAGAGCAAGGATGCGAGTGTCAGGCGAAACATCGCTATTACCCAGAAAACGGGAGAGAGTCTCGACGACACTTCGACCAGTGTTGCCCGTTGCGCCAGCGATGAGGATTGTAGGAGTCATGATGGTTGTAGATAAAACTTCGAAATATCGCGATCCTCGAAATTTGCCAGAAAAGAATTTGAGACAAACGCCTTGAATTGTCCTTTGAATCGACAATTGTACTTTTGTAATGCCACGACACATGATAATCATTCTATGGCCTTTATATCTAACTTACCTGATGGCGAAGAGTCCTTGCGGAGATCTGCGCCGCTGCGGAGTTTGCGGACAACCCACCGGGACGTACACAAATCGCCCTTTATAGAAACCAGACTTTGTCACTAGTCCGCAATCAATTAGTAAGCTCTGCAACGTTATGTCGGCGTCGTGATGGCATCTTTCACCCCAGGCCACGCCTTTGATCGCGTAATTTCAATTATACAATTCCTAAAATCAACTCATTGGTGTTGTGGATAGGGCTGTCAGCAAGTCTTTCGTCCCTACCCCCCATTCCCAGGAACACTGCATCTCTATTGCATATCTCGATGCCCATATTGTGACCAGGAGACTGTCCGCCAGAAGAGCAAGTACTTACTGTAATTTCAGTTCTGCGAACAAAATTTCGGGTTTCTAGTACCGTAAGCTTAAGTTGATCAGTTCGACAAAAAATAGGACTAGCATCAGCACTCCACGAGAGGCCTGCTACGAGCGTTGCCACATGCTACTCACATAAGCTCCTTTGATAGATCCTTCTGTACTTCTCGCTCGCTTGGTTTCAAGAAGGAACACTCCCTTTCTATGCCCATTTTTGCATGCCATAAATTGTGAGACATCTGAACAAGTAAATGAGGCCGTAGGCGTTGCTGGGAAAGCTACCATGCAGTCTTCCTTTCCTTGAACGAATTGCATGTCTTGATCATATTATATGTTGCGCAGCATGGTGAAATGAATTGAGAAAAAAAATTTGAAGTCACATTGCTCGCCTAGAGACGAAATCACATATTATTGTTTTTATGTTCTGTTGGTTGATTGCGGCGCGCTGAGATGCTCCCGCATTTCCGCGTCTATTTCGCCTTTCCGGCGTGATGCTACAATAGCTTTGCCTGATCATTCCTGCTCTCAAAGGCTCTTCTAGAAGAGCCGAAGCCGCATAAGTTTGGGCTCTGGTGGTCACCTGATGGCATCGTCCAGGTAGACGTTAGGGGGATCAACATGGCGGGGCTGGTAAATTTACAGCTGTAACGTCGAAATAGCTACGCCACGTTGTGCTACTTGCATCGCGCTCTCCGGTGGCCAATGAGTAGACCATGCTAATGCCCGAGGCAATAAGCTCACGCCGTTTTCTAATGAAAATACCCAGTTGTTGTCTGCTCCAACGGACAGGGACAATGCGAGGCAAACAAACAAGCGTGCACGGTGCATCGCAATTGGTAGTCTTAAACTCAACCACGCAGGTTCCAACAGCTTGGTAACCATGCCACAAATCTGACCGTTCAATCTTTAATAGTGTACTGCAGGATTAGGCGTTCGTTGCTGCCCGCAATCAACTCGTCTCCGCGACGACTCTTTCCAAGGAGGTTGCAGATACACTACTCCGTACCGCGTACATAGACAGATCAATTACTGTAACTGGCCTGCCTGGCACGCTGCTAGCTTCTTACGATTTCCATACAGCCGGCGGGATGGTTGCCGTAATAAGCTTTTTTCGGAAGCTTACACAAACTCTAATCGGTCCCGATTCCTTGCATGCCAGTTTCAACCTTCCTACGGCAACTTTCTCATGGGCAGCAAGGCAGACGTTGACACAGGCGCGAGACACTTCGGCCACAAACAAAAAGCGAAAATTAGTGTCGTCGCAAGGCCGATACACTAACAAGCAGCACTTCCAGGGGGTGGTTCATGATTCAAGGGTGCCTGCCAGGGGCACATCAAAAGCATGTTTCCCGACGAACCCAATCTGATGGGGAAACGAACTCAACCCTTAAGAATGTTCTCGTCCGTACCCTCCCCTCTCTGTCGCGTCCGTGGACGATCACTTCAACCTACGATACGGCAACCTTCCCTGGGGAGTTCGGGATCTCAACACTGTCAAACGTCCCCAAGTAGCTCATGATGAAGGACTCACAGGTTTCCCGCCTGCTCTTTGGCGTCGTGGCATTCGTCATCGCTGCGACGGCCGTCAATATTCCTCAACCTGTCGGACCAGCCCATCAGGAAATCCAGGGACCGATAGTATGGGCAGCTTGTCCAGGGGACATTCGACCTTTCAAAGGCAACAACGCCACATCGGCTCTCCAATGTACAAACTTCTCGGTCCCATTGAACTACAATGACCTTGGGGGTCCTCAAGTTCAGTTGGGGATAGTCAAACTCCCGGCACAAGGCAAGCGCATTGGCAATCTCTTCGTGAATCCCGGCGGGCCTGGAGGGGCAGCGTCGAGCATGGTCGCACGAATGGCTTCGAAAGGGATCTATATCAGCGACGCAGTACGCCAGTCATTCGACATCATTGGAATGGACCCAAGAGGCGTTGGCCTGAGTACACCGCAGAAGTGTGACACGA